CCACCCCGCTCCAGCCACTCGCCACCCCCTGACCCCGCATGGACTATGCCCTGGGCCCTGCCCACCCTTAGGGACAGCTCTACCTACAAGGGAAAGATAGAGAGAGACTGGAGATGAGCTGACAGGCTCAGGCGAGTGGGCTACACTGTGGTGAAGGGAGAAGGAAGACCATGTGCTGTGATAATGGCTGGGGTTGCCCAGACCCTGCTGGGAATTCACTAATAAGTCAATTTACTTTTATCCTGCTAGTGGGGTGATTTACTACATCCTTTCTGACTGGGGAATTAACTTCTTATTCTTCCATTATATCAAGGCATGGCAGGCGAGTCCCAGGGAGAGAGATTTCGTTAGTCAACCCCATCTGGCCACATAGTCAATGGCCAAATTTATGAATCTGAATTGGCTGAATCTTAAGGGACAATGATTCAAATAACTGAATCAAATCACTGTTCCTCCGAATTGGCCAAATCTGAAGTAAATACTTGCTGCTTCGCACACGCCTACCATGGGGATCCAGTACCAGGAGAGAGCATCTAAGTACTTCAACGCACATAATAAATACTGAAAATAATCATGATTAAAACATTCAAGAACTACTGAACAAGTTTTGATGCAATAGGACCTCTATCAAAATCTTTACCTTGAAGCGCAGATAAAATAATTATCTGGGCTGGCTATTAGTTTCATTATAGTCATCCTATTTTACTTTGCCATATATCCTTCTGAATGAGATATTTCCTCTTCAAAAAACATAAAATATCATAAAATCAGCAATGTAATATTGGCTTCCTAATAGGACTGTCCATATGCCAAAAAAATACTATGGAAGTTCTACCTTGCCAAAAATTTGGAGTGGATTTCAGCATGAAAGCAGGTAAATTACAAGAAAATAATATCAGGAGCAGTCTTCTAAAGAGATGAATAAACAGCTAAACTGACAAAATAAACATGCTATAGACATTAAAATACCTGTGATACAGGAAGATTGGAGTAGGGCTAAGATAACCATCTTTAAAAAGGAGTTATGGGTAATGTCAAGGAGTACAAAACAATGAGGCTTACATCCAGGGGCAAATCCAGAGGGGATGCAGTGGGGAAAGAATCAATGGCAGGTGGGGAGAGGGGTAAGGAGAGTGGAGGGGACATGCCTTTGAGCACGGAGGGGAAAAGGGTGATTCTTACATGATTTGAGGACTTAAAAGAGTCCCCAGAGGCTCCCACAGTGAAATCTGCCTGAACTGACAGGTGGGCAGGGAGAGGAGGCTGGGGGGGCGGGAGAGGCAGGGTGCAGTCACCCCTGCAGTGTGGGTGGCTGCTCTCCCAGATCCTGGATCTGCTCCTGGCTAAATTAACATCAGGACACCAACAAAACCGTGTCATTCATCAACATCTTTATTCATACATTATCTCCCCATTTCCTCTGCCCTTTTCTGTTCTAGTGTCTCTTAAGTCACAAGCCTTCTGGAGAACATAATGGCCTTTGTACAATGCCCAACACAATGGGCCCTAAAACCTCAGGGTTAAGTAGCAGTGAAAAAATAGGCAATAAAAATTATTAAACTGCAATAGCAAAGCATATTCAAGGGATCACATCCTTGGAAATTTTCAAGAGCAGTTTGGACAGATACTTGACTGGTATGTTTAGTCAGGGATGATCCTACCTTGAGCAGGGGGGCTGGACTAGATGACCACAAGAGGTCTCTTGCCCTATTTTCCTATGATTCTATGATTGCCACAGGATTGAAATGGAAAAAGTATGCATTTTTCTACCCTGTTTGAATTCTTTTGAAACATTAAAGGAGTAAGCAGGCTCATAGGAAAGCAATTTATATTTTCAAATGTGTCTGTTACTAAGTGTCTAATGACAAGCTCTTCAGCCACTGCTGTGAGCATAGTTAAGTCCTACATTCTGTAACCATATTTGGAATAATTTTTTAAAAAATGCTGAAGAATTCAGCATGTGTCCTCAGCCAAACACCTGATAGATCATTTGCTCTCCCTCTGCTCTGCTTGGACCTGTACTTCATTTTCCTCAAAAGAGTAATTGTCCCATTTACAACAGAAAGCAAAAGCCGGATGTCAAATTAGCCGGGAGCACAACAGATCAGTCAAGGTGCTGGAAGAGTAAACTCCTAAGCTAGACACAAGCCTTTTCCTTTCCTGGAATTTATTTTGAAAGATTTGCTTCTGAGCTGGGTTGTCTGGTTCATGTTGTGGGAGGGTAAAGTGTAGGGAGAAGAAGCCAAGCTACACCAGGGATATGAGAAAAAAAGGGTCTCAGAAATAACAATGAATTAACTTTACATCAATATGTATTATCAGCTATTAGCCATAGCTGTGCTTAGGTGGGACTTTGCAATGAGGAATGAAGATCATTTCATGACAATTAAGTCTGCCACAAAACATAAGGAAGAATTCATCCCTATCCTTCCACAGAGTACAGAGCTGCAAATATTTATTTGCTGACTTCTCTATGGTGCTGTGAAAACAACCAATAGGGCCTGTTATAAACTACAGTTAAAGCAGCAAGGCACATAAAGTAGAAATAAGCAGCTAATGCTTGTTATGAGACTAGGTTAGTAGTGTGCACACTATTACTAACCCAGATTTACTCTAAAAGTTAGATGAATAGAAGTGAAAAATATCACAGATACAAAATTTAAGGCACTCAAAAACTATAAGGATTTAGAACTGCCAAGAGGACCTAACAAAATGTACCTGGTCCTGTCTACCTACTCTAGATATATTTATATAAATGTACCTAGAGGCTATGTGACAACAGCATATAAAAAAACTAATAAACTAATAAAAATATCTAACTGGACAACCCATTGGTAAATGAAATTTGACTTTAAGAAGTGAAAGACAATTTATGCGGGAAGAAAAAATTTAAAATAAATAATGGCATCAAAATGGAACAGAACTAGGAGCCTTAGTGGGCACACTAGGTATCTTAATAAGTCTGTACAATGTGAAGTAGCAGTCAAAAACCTGATGAAAATGTTAGGTAAGGATGCAGTAAAGAGATACAGCAGAAGGGA